GCCAGGTGTTCGGCGACTATCGGGTGAAGAAGGCGTGGCTGCAGAAGTGCAAGACTGGCGTCGACGAGCCCCGCAGCCCTGCGGCGTCGCGGTGCGTCCATCGAGGGTTCGGCTTCATCATATTTGACGACACGAGCGCGATCGACCAGATTTTGGGAAGTGCCGACTCGAAGTTCGTCAGGCTGCAGGAGTCAGAGGGTAGATTTGACTCTCTCCTACCAGACAAGTCATACCAAGTCATTCTGAATACCCCCTCTTCTTGAGACTCCCCATCTGGTGCCCACTGTGGCACGTGTCTGTTTTGGGGGTTACCCACAGAGGGGGTCAAACTCTGACTTCTGACGGAGGGCAAGTTCGAGGGCAAGCAGCTCGAGGTCAAGCGGGCCATGAGTAGCAATGAGATGTTGGCGGGTGGCAGGCTTGCAGACCAGTCTCAAGCGCAGTCGTCGACTTCTGGCGGGCAAGTGCCGTCGACTCAGCGGGTTGGGCGACAAGCGCAGGTCGCGCTTGCCGCGCCGCCAGCGCAGACGGCTCAGCCAGCGCAGGCGCCCATGTCTTCTCCGTGGCCCACGTTTGTGACCCCCATTGGCCAGCAGCCGTACGTCCCATCGGCCTGCCCATCTCGGCCATACATGTACCCACTGGGGTGCAACGACATGCAGGCGATGGTACCGCAGATGCCACAGGTTGCACACGTGCCGCAGGTGTCAACGGCACAGCAGATGTGTGTTTCGCAGATTGCGAGCGTCGCGCAGATGGCATACCCTCAGATGGGGCCTTATGTCGGAAGTTATGGCTGCCCAACTCAGTGCGTGCCCACATGCGCCCATCCAGGCATGGTTCAGCAGGCTGTGACTTTTCTGCACCAGCCATCTGGTCTGCCACAGAACCAGTTCCAGATGCCTCAGCAGATCCAGGTTTTGACAATTCCTTTCGCGGCAGCAGCAGCGGCAGCGCCAGCCGCTGCGCAATGATAATGCTGCTGTTGCGCCCACTTTAGGCTCGCCGAGAGACCAAGATGCAGTGCAGCGTCAACATGGTTGGAGCAACGGGGTGTGACGCCTTTCTATGGACCCCCCCCCGTCCAAAAACCAAGAAACATAACCTCCAGTTCGGTGTTCGCGCCGTGGGTGGGCTGTAGTGCGCTTGAAGCAGTGCGCGCAGTGCCTGGGTGCGAGTGGGGCCACGGTGGGAGTCAGTCCTGCTGTTGCCCCCGTGGCGAGCGGTCGCGCGCTCGTTGGTCCCCCGCCCCTTCCCCCTTCGGGGGCGAAGGAGTGTCGGGTAGACGCGGGGTGCGACGGTGGGCGGGCTGCTGAACGGTGCGGGCGCGCTCGCGGAGATGGCTCAGAGGTTCCCCCGTTCTCCCTCTTTCACGACCGTTCTCGGTCGGAATGCTCTTGTGTCGCGTTGGCGTCGGATGTGCCACGGTCTCGCGGTGGCAGCATCTCGTCGTCGTGTCGCAGTGTCGCGGTGCCGTGAGGTCGCGGGGTCGTCCTGCCCACGGCGTTTGCGGTGCCGCGGTGAGGAACCAATTGTGGATCATTCGGCCGTGTGTCAGTGGTTCAGGAGTGAGTCCGCTGGTATTAAAATTGGGCATACGTGTGTGGACGAAGTGCGGGCGCGGTCGGGAACTTCCGGATAGCGTTTCGCTGCGCCAGTTGCGGCGCGCACGCTATCAGCGTCCCAGTCCCCAATCGTCAATGTCTCGTGTTTGGCCCAGCCTCCTGCCCCGCGGAGCGGAGCGGCGCGGTATCCGCTTGCTAGGCATCGCGTGTCGCCAGGGCCGCAGCGGCGACACTCTAAGCACAAGCTCCCGACCGTAAGCTGCAAATCGGTCGCTCGTTAAGTCGATCGCGAATCTGAGGTGAGGGGGTAAGATCGCAGTGAAACGAAGAGCCCCCCAGCACGAAATCGTTTGCTTTTCGTATTCGTGAGGCGAAAGGAACGAAGCCTCACTTGCTGGCGAGGCGAAGCTGCGTGAGCGGGCGAAAGGAACGAACCCTCACTTGCTAGGGCGCCGCCCAGCCAAATGAACCGCCCCCCAGGTTGTCCAGCGGTGGCCCGAGGTGTCCCGCGGTGGTGTCCCAGTGGTGTGTCCAATGGTGTCCCGCGGTGGCCCGTGGTGTCACGTGGCGCGGTGTCCCGTGGCATCCCGTGGTGTTCCGTGAGGTCGATAGTGAGACCGATAGTGAGATCGGTAGTGGGATCCATGGTGAGATCGATCATGAGAGCCATAGTGCGATCAACCGTGAGATCGACAGTGAGATCAATTGTGAGATCGATTGTTAGATAGTTTGTCAGATCGAGAGTGAGATCAGTTGTGAGATTGATAGTTAGGCAGATAGCGATATCAGTGCTCAGATCGATCGTGAGATCGATTGTGAAATCGATAGTGTGATCGATAGCGAGATCGATCGGAGGTTGGGGGTGAGATCGCAGTGGAACGGAGACCCCTAACCAGGAAGTCGTTTTGTTTCGTTCGTGTCGTGCGTGCGGGCGAGGGAAGCTGCGTGGACGCGCGAGAGGAATGAACCCGCCGTTGCTACGGCGAAGTCAAGACAAATGATTCCCCCCCGTCCGCCCGTCCGGCGGTGGCTCGCGGTGTCCCGCGGTGTCCCGTGGTGTCCCGTGGTGTCCCGCCGCTGCTAGGGCGGAGTCAAGACAATTGATTCTCCCCCGCCCGCCCGTCCGTCCGTCCGTCCGGCGGTGGCTCGCGGTGTCCCGTGGTGTCCCAATGAGTGAGATCGATAGTGAGATCGACAGGTGTCCCGTGTTGTCCCGTGGTGTCCCGTGGTGTCCCGTGGTGTCCCGTGGTGTCCCAATGAGTGAGATCGATAGTGAGTTCGACAGGTGTCCCGTGATGTCCAGTGGTGTCCCCTGGTGTCCCGTGGTGTCCTTTTGAAAGTGGGATCGATAGTGATATCGACCGTGAGATCGATAGTGAGATTCACAGGTGTCCCGTGGTGTCCCGTGGTGTCCCGTTGAGATTGAAATAGATAGCGACATCGATTGTGAGATCGATAGTGAGATTGACAGGTGTCCCGTGGTGTCCTGTGGTGCCCCGTTGAGTGAGATTGATCGTGAGATCGATCGTGCGATCGATGGTGAGATCGATAGTGGTATCGATCGTGAGATCGATAGGGAGATCGATAGTGAGATCAGTCAGATCGACAGTGAGATCGATAGTGCGATCGATAGTGAGATCGATATTGAGATCGATTCAGTCAGACGCTTGTTCCCCCCTACACAACTTCCTTATCCCCCGAAGGGTGGTCGTATAGGTAGTTGGATTGCTTGATTGATTGTGAGATCGATCGTGACATCGATCGTGATACCTATGCGACCACCCTTCGAATGATCAGGATGTTGTGGTGGGGGGGGGGAGGGGGAGAGGGGGGGAGGGGGGGAACCAACATCTGACTCAAACGATCTCACCATCGATCTCACTCAACGGGACACTTGTCGATCTTTTTTATCGATCTCGCTATCGATCTCACTCAACGGGGCACCACGGGACACCACGAGACTCCACGGGACACCGCGGGACACCTCTCGATCTCACTCGATCTCACTATCGATCTCACGATCGCTCTCAATCAACGGGACACCACAGGACACCTCGGGACACCACATCGATCTCACCATCGATCTCACTATCGATCTTTCTCCACGGGTCACCACGGGACACCACGGGACACTTGTCGATCTCCTGATCGATCTCATTATCGATTTCACTTTTTGGGACACCACGGGACACCTCGGGGCAACACATCGATCTCAGTATCGATCTCACTATCGACTTCACTATCGATCTCACTCAACGGGACACCACTGGACTCCTCGGGACATCACGGGACTCCTGTCGATCTCACTCACTATCGATCTCATTATCGATCTCACTCAACGGGACAACATAGGACACCTTGGGGCACCACATCGACCTCAGTATCGATGTCACTATCGATCTCTCTATCGATCTCATTATCGATCTCACTCAACGGGACACCACGGGACACCACTGGACACCACGGGACAACACGGAACACCGCGGGACGCCGCGAGCCACCGCTGGACGGACGGACGGACGAGCGGGCGGGGGAGAATCATTTGTCTTGACTTCGCCCTAGCAACGGCGGGACACCACGGGACACCTGTCGACCTCACTATCGATCTCACTATCGATCGATCTCTTTCAACGGGACACCACGGGACATCACGGGACACCACGGGATACCACGGGACATCGCGGGACACTGCGAGCCACCGCCAGACGGGCGGGCGGGGGAGAATCATTTGTCTGGATTTCGCCCTAGCAACGGCGGACACCCCTGGACACCACGGGACAGCACGGGACAACGCGGGACACCGCGAGCCACCGCCGGACGGGCGGGCGGGGGAGAATCATGTGTCTTGACTTCGCCGTAGCAACGGCGGGTTCATTCCTCTCGCGCGCCCACGCAGCTTCTCCTCGCCCGCACGCACGACACGAACGAAACGAAACGATTTCCCGGTTGGGGGTCTCCGTTCCACTGCGATCTCACCCCCCAATTTCCGATCGATAGTGCGATCGATAGTGAGATCGATTGATGTCGAGGGGTAGTGATATTGGTAGTGAGATCGGTCGATATGGATATACATAAATATATATATATATATATATATCGTGAGTTGGATAATGAGATCAACCAAGTCAAGTGAGATCGATAATGAGATCGATAGTGAGCTTGACATTGAGATCGATAGTGAGACCGATGATGAGAGGGATCTTGAGATCGATGGTGAAATCGATAGTCGTATCGATAGTGAGATCTGTATTGAGATCGATTAGATCGACCGATTGGAAAGGACAGTCTGATGGGTAGTGTGAACAAAGGTGGAATATATTTTGAGATCGATTGCGATATCGATTGAGTCAGACGTCTGTTCCTCCCCCCCCCCGAACATCCTTATTACCCGAACGGATGGTACAGGTTTGTGCTTCCCCGAGTCGAACATGTCATCGCCGTGCTCCGTTTATTCCGCTGGTTCTTTTCAAACGACTGCGAGCCATTGTCGAACCAACTGGATGCCAGTTTTAGCTTCACGTTGGCTGAAGCGCTAATCAATCGTGGACCGAGTATGGATATAATATGAGCCAGATGCAGGTCAGTTCAACACCATGTGCGAAGCATGTGTAAGTCAACTGTGGCTCGATCGGCAGTAAGTTGAAGTAGTTCACTTCAGGATCAATCGCGAATCAACTCTGAATCGCATGTGCTATATGACGCGTGTCGAACATTGGGACGGAAGTAACCATCTTCGTAATAAATTCGCCCACTGCAGGCCGGCCCCCTCTCTATCCGAATTGGACATGCAAGAGCTACGTTGGGGTGCTTGGGCACCGACCTGAAGCAATACCGGAACCTCGTGCGAGGACGGCTGGTAATCGTAACGCCATTTATAAAAGGGATCGTGGCTTCAGGGCGCGAACCTGGCGTAACTCATGAGGATTGTGTATTTCGGGGGCGCGAGCCCGGTGTAATACAGAGATCTTCGCGTCGGGAGCGCGAACCTGGCGCAATTTGAGAAGGATTCGGGCCTCAAGAGCGCGGCGCAATTAGCAGAGGCTGCGGTTTTGGGAGCTTGAATCCGAATTGATTTGCCAGGGTTTCTAGCCTCGGGAGTGCGGACCTGGTGTTATTTATGATGGATGCTGGCCTGGGGATCGCGAATCTGGCATAGTTAAGAAGGGATTCTGGCCTCGGGAACGTGAATCTTGAGTGCTTTACAATGAATTATTGTTTGGGGGGCGCGAATCTTACTAATTTGCACTTGTCCAAGAGCCCCCCAGAAATTAGAGCACGCGATCCAGGCGCCGTGGCCAGGGTGGTGTTCGGCTCCCCCCCCCCTCGCGCGGACAGTAACAATTCACAGTAGGGAACACCAAGCAAGACGATACCACTGGAGATTGGAAACTCGCACTGGCGCAGGAAGCAAGAAACCTCCGCCATGCAGCCTCATGGCCCCACAAGGGGGCCAGCGTATGTGCTGTTTTCTGATGTATTGCGTTGTGCTGCGCAAGTCCACTCGCAGTGCAAACATGACAGCCAGCGAAGTTAAACCGGGCATCCTCAGGCGCCAGTCAAGGCAAGCGCCAACACAATCGTCCCCCGAGCGTTTCTGGCGCTGGTGCGCTACAATATGGCAGCTTGTGTGGGCTTTGTGGATTGACTGTTTCATCATTGGATGAATGGATGGACCGATGGATGGATTGACGAATGTCAGCAGACATGCGAATGGAAAGTGCACCAATATTGTTCCCAGCCTCTTTGTTCGACCACATGCCGGTCGCATAGGCACTTGCACTGTCGGCGTCTTTCGGCACCCCGAATGGCAGATGCGCGTACGCGCGTCGGCGCGAATGGCAGATGCGCGTGCGCGCGTCGGCGCCACACCGGCGGAGCCGGCGGCCGTCTCACACCGTCGCCCTTTTGCCCCCCGCTTTATCCCGATCCTCCTGCCGTAGGGCTCTGGCCTGGCCGCTCCCTATCCTGCCCCTGCTCGTTCTGTTTCCCCTTCGCCTCATCATCCTCTTCCTTTCCCACCCACTCGCCCCCCTCAGACACACACTGCGCTCAACCGCAGGGTGTGACCTACCCCACTCCCGGCTGCAATCCCCGGAACACGGCGGAATCACATCTGCCGACGTGCAGCGCGATGCGCAGGGCAGAAGGGAGGGCCGCCCAGCACTCGCAGTGCGGCGAGGCGGTGCAGAGTCCTCGTGCCCTCGAGGCCTCCATCGCCGCCCAGCCGCTCTCGAGGCAGGTGCTCGCCAGACGACCTCGAGGCCGGTCGGAGGGCTGAGGCCCGCTCCCCGAGCACTCGCCGCCGCGACAGGGCAGGCCGTGCAGCACCATCGCGCCCCGAGGCGCCATCGCGGCCACCGCCCCGCCGCAGCGCGCACGTCGGCCCGCGCCATCGGACGACTCGGCCTCACCGGGGGCGCCAAGTGGGCGGGCGGAGCGGGAGCGCAGGCGGGCGAGACCGAGCCGCGGCCCCGGGCGCCGCCGCAGCAGACCTGTGGAGGCCCTCCTCGGACCCCAGCAGCCGCACGGCACCGAGCCCCGCCGCCGCCACCGCGGGCCCGCGGCGAGTCCGCGCGGCGGCTGCCCGTCGGCGACAGGCTCGATCCAGGCGCGGTTCCTCGTCCTTCTCCATCCGTCGCCACGAGGGCTCAAAACCTTTCGGGCGCACCGCGGCTGCCTCGCAACACAGCTTCCGGCCAGACAGCCTCCGTATCGAAGGGTACCACGGCGCCCCCCTTCAAGTCCAACCGACTCGGCATCTACAATTTATTCCTCGAAGTCTTTTGCTTTTCGTCCAGTTATGGGCGAGCCAGGCCACCTCTCGCAGAGGCCCATGGCTGGCCCAGGGCTCGGCCTAAACGGTGCTTGGGCGATTTTCTGTGGACCGCTCTCGTTATGTTTCTGTTTTGCAGCAGAGGCGGAACGACTACGAAACGAGGGAAAACACGCAACACGGAAACGAGAAGCACTGTTTGGGTCGAGCCTTAGGCTGGCATGTCCGCCAACAAACTTGCGAGGTCCAAAACCCAGGTAGCGGAGCGCCAGAGAGCTTCTGAAAGGCCGCTGGAAAGAGCCTTGAAAGCTCTTGGAGAGAGTTTCCGAAGGAGCTTCTGGAGAGCTTCCCAGTACACGTCTTGACAAGCAATACGAAAAGGCCTTTCTGGCAAAGCTGCAACTTCGAGCCCCGGGCTGGCCTGCTTGGGATCATCTTGGTGGCCTCTGAGACCGTCTTGGACCGTCGGAAAGCCGAAAATGAGCAAACGTCAGGATCCTTCAAAACCTTCAGAACATTCCTGATATTGGGCTCCTTCGGGCCTTCCTGGAGGTCCTCTTGGAGGACTCTTGGGCCATCTTGGAGGCCTCTTGGGCCATCTCTTGGGCTCTTCGGCTCGCTCCAGGTCGGCTATATGAGCTTCGGGCCTCCCCCAACCCCCCTCGCTGTGGCAACCTCGGGAGGCGCCGGCCAGCGAAGACGGCACGCAGGAGTCTCGCGGAAGGACTTTGACGCTGAGCTTATGGTGTTCCAACCTGTTTTAGCCTTGATCATTATAAAGTGCCGAAACTTGATGGCTTTCACGTGTCGGGCCCTGGGAGGCGATATTCGTTCGACACTGTTTCAATACTGTTCTCAGTGCTCGAAATTATTTCTGGGATGGGGCCCTGTAGTACGATGGGAGCAGCGTTACGCTGAGCATCAGGCTCACACCCAGGAAGTATTATCGCACACTTACGCCAGCACGCCGCTGCCGAATATTTCATGGTCTACCAGAGGGGGACAGGGTACCCATACCGCTACCCTTCGCCCGTTTTCCCCTTCTTGGGCCTCCTGGGAGGCCCTCGTCGCCACCGCTGGATTCGTTTCGACATTGTGGTCAGAACGCACCCGGGAGAGGCCCAGGAAGCAGCGGTATCGGTACAGTTTGACTTCTCCAGTCTACACCGATTCGCACAGCTGCGCCAACACGCCGCCGACAAATATTTCATGGTCTGCACCGATCGCGTCGTCAGAGGCGTGGCAGGTACTGCAAGACATGGCTGGATTCAAAGAGCGCTTCAACTTCGTCGAATATCAAGAGTTGGCCACCACAGACGACATCGCCGCCATCAGCGTCGTCGCCACGCCTGCCCCCGTCTATCCTCAGGGTGAGCGTTAGCGAGTTATCCTTTAAGACCGCCATCTGGAACTGCTTCGAAATCATCAGATTCGCCGAGCTCGCCGACGACTGCTGCTCAATACCAGGACCGCAATCTGGCCGCAGTTCCGAGGTCCGCTTTAACCGGGCCGGTGCGCCTTTCACGCCCAGAGCAAGGACGGCGAGTGGACCGAGTTTCATAGCACGTCCGCCAGCGGGCAAGAAGCCGCACACACGTCAACCAACCCGAGCAAGGACGCCAGAATTAATCGCGACGGAACTCGTCTACGCCAGCTGCGCAAGGCAATCGCCGTTGCTCGCAGATGCACCTCGCCAGGTGAGACGGCATCGTCGTTGTCGCCGAGAAGATGCCCGAGCTCGCCAAGGGGGGGACCCGCCGAGGCCACGAGGGATGCGCAACGGGAGCTGGAATCCCGCAGGCAAGCGCGCAGATCAGGGGATCGGCGTCACCGTTTGGAGCGTGCACTGCTGCTCCTGTGGCGCCGGCCAGCGCGAGGCCAAGACCAGTGCTTCTGCCGCCGACGGGGGTCCAGCGCTGCGGTTTTCATCGCCCAGGCTCACTTGGCTGTGGAAGCTGTCGGCTTTCTTATGTGCCCTGATGTCTCCAGGGATTGGTGGATTCGCGGTGCTGCTAGATCGCGAGGTTCTGGGGGGTTCATCGCCATCGTTCGCGATACCTGGGCCGAAGCCGAAAATCAGCCCGAGAGCGCGACACTCGCATAACGAAGTGCCATCCGAGACGCCGTCAAAGCTCGCACATTTTATTGTTTCGCTCACGCCGCCCGCAACTTCAACATCTTCGGCCGCGACCTCGGCAACCTCGAGGACGCGGCAAGCAAGGACATCCTTGACGCGGAGGCCTACCCGCTGCCCCAGTCCGTCTGGTTGTAGGATCCTGGGCTGCGACGACCGCGTGAATGTGCTAAGGGGTTGTCTCTCTCTCTCTCTCTCTCTCGCGAGCGTCACTTCCCAGCGCGACATGGTCGCGGCTACCGAGACCATGAGCCACGTGCGAAAAAAATGTGGCCACCCGCTACCTCCCGGGCAAATGAGCGCGTCCGGATCGCATTACGAGTACGCCCCATCCTGGTGGATCGGCTCCGTCGTTTTCAACGACGTTGCGCGCCTCTGGCAGAACCCACGACCACGCTGTCTTGATGGTCCACGGCGGCCGCCGCGTACCAGGGCCGCCCGGCGCCGCGCCACCCCTAGCGAAGTTGCCTGCCACCCTCTCTTCAAGCAAGTGCACGATCCCGCATGCACGAACACCTCCCCGGACTAGCTGCCTGCGTCAGGACATCACCTCCCAGGACTAGCAAGTGCACGATCCCGAAAGTGCCCAAACCCCTCTGGTAGACCCGCTAGGACATCACCAGAGAAGCGGGTCGGGTCATCTGTTGCGTTGTCCTGGAACTTAAACCCGACGTGAAGCTTGCGCAGACGCTCGCCATGTCATCGCTGGCGCGAGCGATCTGGCAGAGCGACGTGCACCTCGCCGAGGCCGCCTTTGCCGCCCATTTCGACAATGGCCCAGAGTTCGCCACCATCCTCAAGGACGCGCTCACGCTCGGCTGCCACGCCGAGTGCTCCAACCTGCTCGACGACATCGCCGCCGCCGGAGCAGCCGCAGAAACCGATCGACTCGAAACCGACGCCGCCGGGAGACACAACATTGGCGTAGGCCAGTTGCTTCGGGTAAACTCCTGCGTCGTCAGGTCCAAAGCCAGGCTGCACTGGAGCATCGCGATGAAGCGCGTCTCGGTGGCCCTCTCACCGCCTGGCATCCTAGGCGGCGACCTGCTCGACCAGCGTCCCGCTGATCAGGGGCGCGACTTAGCCAAAGTCTGCGCTCTCCACTTCAAGGCGCAGCCGACCGACCAAGCGCGCGCCGCAGAGTTTCTCACTGAGTGGGCTGCCCCGCTCGACTGGTCGTTCCGCGCCGCCGCCTTCCACTGAGATCGCCGAGCAGTTCCTCGAGCGTGCGGTCGGCTACAGCCCTGGCCCTGCTGGCCTTGCCTCTTTGTTGCGGATGCGCGCTGAATGATTAACCGCTAAAGGTTTTGAGTTTTGTTTCTCACCCTTTTCTCTCGGCGGTGAACTGGACTGGTCCTAAAGCCTCCTCCTCCTCCTCCCCCTCCTCCATGAGGGCCAGACCCCGTGAGCTAGGATTGTCCGTGAGAGCGCTCCTGAGGCATAAGTAGTACTAGTCGTCGTAGTCGTAGTCGCAATCGTAGTCGTAGTTGTCGTCGTCGTTGCGCGGCGGGTGCCGCGGAACAAAATAATTAGTTACCCCCCATTGGTGGAACCACAGTCTTTCAGTAGGGCCGCCGAACAAATAATTAGTTACCCTTCTAGGGGGGAGGGTTCTAAAGACCTTTCAGGGTTACCAGCAGGCCGAAGCGAGTCTACGCGTAACTCCACGCCTCTCCACTGGGTTCCCCACGCCAATGCCGATTATCAATTCCGAGTTTACATCTTTGCCCGAAAAGTCCCAAGCTGGAGACGAGGCTGATATCATTCGTCGGAAACTGAAGCATGTACATTACCAGCGGCTGCTTTGTTTCAATCCCATGACGTTGTAGAGGTCGGGGACGACGTCGGGTTGGTATGGTGTATACTGTTTCCCCGGCTCCCCCGGAAATAACGAACAAATGCACCAGGATCCAGGCGGGGCCAGGAAAAGCCGTCGGCGTATAGAGTTCCGCTCTTTAATTCGATGCCCGAAGACGCGCACCCCTTGAACGTGAAGACCACGTAAGCCGTGGCGTTCTGAATTACGCACTTCGCGACGTTGCAACGTTGGGCGTCTCCTCGACGCAACGTGGCTTCGTCGCGCAACGCCAGCCCACGCACGACGTTGCCGACCTCGACTGCGCCGCCCCGTCCACGGGCACCTGCAGCGCTCGCCGACTCCTCAGGATCCTGCAGCACGCTTTCGCTTGCGAGCCTGGCCACGCAGAAGGGGCCCTCTCCAGCGCTTCGAGGGGCCCTGCCCCAGAGAGGAGATCTGCCCACACCGCTCCAGCGTGGGCGCCCGCGGTGCTGGCCTCCGCTGCCTTCGGGCGCGCTGCCCCCGGGGGTCGCGCTCCACAAGGGCAGCTTCGCCCGCGGCATGGGAGAGGGCACCCGCCGGTGAGGATCGGAGGAGCGAGGGCTTCGCCCCTCGGGGATCGGAGGAGTGGATACCTCTTCCTCGGCGGAAGAGCGGCGCCGGGCCGTGGAAGGCGGCGCCACGCGGCCGCCTCCGCCAGCGAAAGCGCAACTCGGCCCCCGCAGGCGATGGCAAGGTCTTGTTGGTGCAGGATTGTCTGACCCGCCGTGTGGGATGCCAGCACGCTCCTCATATGGATCGTGCTCCAGAAGGGGCCGCAGACCTCCCCGGAGCGCGGAGAGCACCAGGAGGTCTCCTTCTCCTCTTGCTCCTGCTCCTGCTCCTGCTCCTCCTGCTGCTTCTGGGCGTCCTCCCGCTCCCACCCTTTTTGCCTCCGCTTCTCACTCTCGATCCCTTCTCCTTATAGATAACTCGTCCCTGTCGCACCCGTGTCCGCAGGTCGGGTTGAACGTTTCGCTGCAGAGTTCCTCGTCATTTGTGATCTTGAAGGTTCGTTTGCAACAGCTTGACGAAGGCGGGCCGTTGCATGAGCGTTCGTTGTAGCGCCGCGCACACTCGTTTTCAAAGTTTGCCACATTTGAAACCTGATCTCTCGCCCCGACGCCGCGCACATGTGTCTCACAAGTTCGCAAGAGCGCCAAGGATGGAGGCCATTTTCTTTTCAACAGTTGGCTCTCGCTTCAGCGCCGCGTGCATTGATTTTACACAGTTGCAACAGTTTCATGGTTTTGCGGGGCTCAAGTCCCAACCATTGTCGTCTTGTACGACTCGGAGGCTTCAGGACACAACAGTCACCTGGATTCGCAGTGGTGAAGATGCAGGAATGGCGTTCTGGTGCCATAAAGCATTGCCAGAACGCAGCCGCAACTTCGATCCGCGGCGTTGAAGCTCCAGAATGGTGTCTTGACATGATCTTGGATTATCAAGTAATTTCGGAGATTGAGCGGCGCCCGAGATAGTTTTAACCTCTAGCATGCAGAGCTGTTCTTCCATACCCCATCCTGTCAATGGCGGGGCATCTTCCGTGTCTGGAGCCTGGGAGAGTGAAAATCTTCCTTTCTTGAGCTCTTCGGACGGTTGTCTTTACATGGGCCACGTCCCGCAATGAAAACAATTTTTTGCAGGGACCTCTAGGAAATTGCCGAGAGAGTTTATTGCAATGGTGCGTCTCAGGTTTGCATTGGTCCTCCTCCTCCCCCCTCCCTCCCTCCCTCATTCCTCCAACTCCCTCCTCTCCCGCCGCCGCGCCCCGCCAGACCACGTCCCTGGAGGCCAGGGCCGGTCTTGAAGGCCGGGCCTGGCCGCTGCAACACGCGGCCTTTCCTACGCCAGCGGCTCCCTTTGCCCACTGCAGGCCTCCGGCTGTCCGTGTCGCCGACTCCACTCATCTTCGCGCGCGGCGGTCGAAAACAGCCGCGCCCTCGCTCAGGAGGAACGGGCGTGTCCACATCCGTGCCCTCGCGGTCTGGATGCCGAGGCGCGATCCCGTGGATACTCGATCCCATGCGTGGAGTGGGGCACCTGCGGTCACCTGCGCCAGGCCCCCCCATGTCCGTGGGGTCGCGGCCGATGGGGTCTGTACCGCGAGGCCGTGGCTGTGGGCACGCCTCTCGCCCTCGACTCGTCTTTGTCGCCGTCGTCTTCGTCGGGGACTTCGTCGTCCGCTCGGCGGCAGACTCCACTTGTCGTCGTCGTCGTCATCGTCGCCGTCGCACTCGTCGTCGTCGTCGTCGTCGTCGTCGTCGTCGTCGTCGTCGTCGTCGTCGTCGTCGTCGTCGTCTCGGAGGCCGTGGGCGTGCCTGGGAGGTTCTCCTCGTCGCCACGGCCTGGCCGTGGCAAGGGCAATCGACTGGCTGGCTTCGGATCTGGCTGGCTTTGAGCGGAGGTTGGTCGTGTGCGTGGCAAGTGGTTCGGAAGCAAATCATGGGATCCGTGTGTGTCCTTGAAATGTCGTCGCTCGGGTGCACTCGGGTGCGCTACTGGGCTCCCATCCCCCCGTCCCCCCGTGGCCTCCCAGCAGCCTCATGTTCCTCTCCCAGTGTTCCGCGTCCTCCGCCTCCTCGTCACCTTCCCTCTTCCCTCCTCCTCGTCACGCTCCTTCCGCGAAACGATTGCGGCCACGTCGCGAAGAACCTCGACCAGAGTCCTATAAACCCCATCTTGCTGCTGTAGTTTTCGAGCCGGATCGCTCTGCGAGGGCCTCGGGGCCCGGAACCGGGCGACAATGCCGGGTTCGAGAAAAAGTTGAGGCGCCAGGATCTCGAGTACACGTAAGAGTGACCTTTCGCTGGAGTGACTTTTGGTGCGGGCTCATCGGGGTCCCCCAGATCGTTGAGCGAGATGCGACAGCGGCTGATTGCGCACTTGGATTTGGCCATCTCGCGCCCCCTTGGTCCGCGCACCAATCAGGGGCAACGATGTGGGGAGACTGGCATGGGGGCGGGGCATCGACCTGGAATCGGCGATACACCGTCGATAGATCGGCGATGGGCCCCCTATGGCATATCCGCACCTTCCTTGGCGGGGCGGGACTATCAGACTCCTATTGGCGATCAATGGGCGATTGGGGGTCGATGCATCCCCCCCTATGCCCATCCCCCCTATCGTTGCCCCTGAACCACAGGTCTGGCGTGTAGCCGAGGATCCCGTGGCGGGTGTGACCAGGGAGGCGCGAGCTAACCAGGCCGGCTGGCCGGCGTGCAGCCTTTCGCTGGCCGTCGGCAGCCTGGCCCCGATCTCGGGCTCGCAGGCTCGGGGCGGCAGGTGCGCGCAGCAGTCCAGCCGCTGACGCCGCCGCCGTCATCGTCGCTGCCGGCCTCGTCATTGTAATCGCCGTTGCCGCGCATACGCCTCTGGAAACGCTCGTCATTCGGAACCCCCTTCGGCTCTGGGAATCCAAGCTTGCAACGTGCTGAAAAAGTTTGAAAGGACCTTTCAGTCTCAGGCTTCGGCAACTGGGGCCCCTGCTGAGCCCCAGAACCGTCCAAGGACGACTCGGGATGAAAAACTGGCCCTGGGGAAAGAATCGGGACTTCCGGGGGCCGCGCATGGAAAACAACAGAGCTCGGCTCGCCGCCGCCGCCGTCGCCCCTCGCGTCTCGCGCCTCGGCCCCGCGCCCCTCGACGGGCGCCCGGCTTGTGGCCGATCTCGGGGGTCTCTCGCCTCTGCTGGCCTCGGCGCCCCCCCCCCCCCCCGCACACGAGACCGGAGAGGGGCACCGCGCAGCCAGGCGGCACGGCACCCCGTGGGCGGGCGGCGGGAGCCTCGCGTAGCTGTGAACAACGCTCTATGTCCTGCCCCTTTTGAGCACTCCTCCTCCTCCTCCTCCTCCTCCATATCCTCCTCCATCTCCTCCTCCTCCTCCTCCTCCTCCTCCTCCACCTCCTCCTCCTCCTCCACCTCCTCCTCCTCCTCCTCTTCTTGACCCCCAGAGTCCGCATATAATGTAGCCGGAGAGTACGACTCTCTCACTTTAGCTCGTGCCAATCATCTGACGGTGCTAGCTTTCCATATTTACCACAAATTTCGTGCAGAGCTTCAGCAAGCTCCACACTTAGAAGGCAACTGTAATGCTACCTTGCGTATCCGTCACGCCGCGCTCGTCGCGACCGACGGCCAGGCCATTGCTCATGCTCCTGGGCATCGCGTTGTCATTCCACAGTCTTGATTGTAGTCTGACCCGCCCCCCCCTGGTGACGTGCGCTCCTCCTCCTCTTCTTGACCTCTTCCTAATCATCTCCGCCCCCCCTCCCTCGCCTCCTCCGCCTCTCTCCTTCCCGCCTGCCTCGTCCCCTGCCTCCCCCCTCCGCTTGCCCCCGAAGTCGCCCCTGGCACGGCCTACGCGACAAGTCCAAGGGCCTCGCGCATCCTCATGTTCCTCGTAGGGGGCCACCGGAAGACCCCCCAGCTCCTGTCCTTTTCTTGTCTTCGGGCCTCCTCCGCCTTTCCCCCTCTCCTCCACCGATCCTCCTCCGCCCACCCTCCTCCGTGCCTCCTCTACATATCCTCCTCCGCCGCCGCGGGTGCCGAGGAGCTTGGGAAATACACGGTCGAGGTGCCGTCGCAGCCGGTGGCCCAGATGCCGATCATGGGAGGAGTGTGGGGAGGAGGTTAGCCGAGATCTTAAGCTGTTTTGGGGGGTGGTCAGCTTTGCCGAAGGTTGCGCGGGATTTCCGACTGCTTTGGGGTTGTTTCGGTCAGTTCCTGGGTGCTTGCGAGTAGGCGAGGAGGAGGAGGAGGAGGAAAAGGAGGAGGAGGAGGACGAGGAGGAGGAGGAGGATCCCAGCCGTGGACCCCGCGTCGGGATTGGGCCGCGCGTCAGCTTGCTGGTCGACCGACCTGTCCGCCGCGGGCAGGGCTGTCGAGGCGCCCCCCTCGTCGGCCGCCTCGCGAGGCCGATTTCTGCGCAGGGCGTCCCAGAGAGTTTGGCCCTGGCGGTGGTGCTGCCCAACTCTGTTTCCTCAAGGGAGGAAAACCACTCGGACCCGATAATTGGCGGTTGCTAAACGGCCCTGGGCGTGTACAGTTTTCAACAGCCCTGCCCTGTTCGATTCCATTTTTGGGTGCGTTTACTGTACGGCTTCGCGTGTCGGGGTGACTCTTATGAGGGTGGATTTTCTGTTCTCCTGTTCTGGCCAGCAGAGCTGAGGGAGAAAGAGCCCCCCTCGTCGCCACCGCCAGGCGCGCCTCGAAAAACTGGTCAGTATCGACCCTGTGAATTGTCCAGGGTTGGAGCAGGTTTGCCCGCGGCCCCTGGGTTCCCCCCCTGATAGATTTCTCCGGGGCCCAGCCTGCGTACGTAGACACCTTGGCCGCTTCTAACCAGAGTGGGCCGCGCCGTCGAAGGATCGAGAAGATGTTGACTTCTCTTACTTGGCTGAAGTCGGGCATGTCCCTTTACACGAGGAATCTTCGAGAATGGCAGAAATACTCTGGGGGCGATGTTTCTTGCTGAATTGAGTGTAGTTGAGCACGTTTTGATTAAGTAGAGTTCTTGCTCGACAATCCGCCTGTAGGAGGACATGCCCAACTTAATATACGGCGGAGGAAGTGTGGAGACTGGCGGAAGCGAAGTGAGGACGGCTCCGCCGACGGAAGCTCGGCGGAGGCCTGCGGAAGCAAAACAATATCCACCCTTGAGAGATGGCAGCGTTTCGGGGCTCAGGGCTCTCAGAGCTGGCCATCTGCTGGCGTGGCTGCCGGGGCGTCTTCTCGCGTGGCTGGGGTTATAGCTGATCCAAGGGCCAGGGGCATGTTTTGAACGTCTCTGTCGGGTGGCCATCTGGGAAGGCCTGGGCCACGCCCAGACGCAGCTCCAAGAAAGTGCCAGGCGTGGCCCCCTAGGTGTTCAGGGATCGACCTTCACGGACTTGGGGCGAGGCCTTCTCTTGGCATCGCTCGGACGTGTGCATTTTTTCTCGGCGAGAACCACCGAGGATCATCCTGGACCATCGAGCAACCAACAAGAATGCACGGAGCCGAAACATGCACGGGACATGGACGTCCGAGCGACGGCAAGTCCTCGGGCCACCCGCAGGGTTCGTGAAGTTTTGCTCGCGCTGCGCGGTCTGGGCCGAACGGCGACCGGCTCTCTCTCTCCAGAGGGAGGGGCGCGGGGGCGCGCAGGCGACCAGGCGGAGTCAGCTGACCCAGACTCCTGCGGTTTCCCCGCCCGTTCGGGGTCTTCCTCCATCGTCCTCATCCTTCTCGTCCTCGTCGTCGTCCTCGTCGTCGTCGTCATCGTCGTTCCATCCATGCTGCATCCTCTGGGACTGTTGGCGGTCCTGGAGCCCCGGGGCAGGGCTCCGCCTCCGTGGGGGTCCGGCTCGGGGGGGGGGGGGCCCAGCCGATGGATTTGGCACCTCTTGGCTACACTTGCCCTTGTCTCCCCGCTCCCGCTCCTCACGCCCCTCGCTCGCCTCGGCCGCTGTGCTTCTGAACAGCAGGACAGGGTCGTGAGTCATGAGCTTCCCCACTTGTTTTGGACAGTGAAAGCGCGCAGTGGGTAGTGCATCCTCGCGCCAGGATTCCGGCGCGTACAGGGTGTTGCACGCGTGCGTCCAGCTGAAATGCAGACTCCAGACGCAAGAATATCTTAGCGTCACTGGATCCATCATAAGGCGAGAGGTGAAGAAGGTAAAGGTCAAGCTGGCGCTGAGCCTGCACGGCACCATAGTGGTGCAGAGTGCACAGATGGTCGAAGACGAGAAGGACGGTCCGGGGACGGAGTTGCAAAGGCAGCGGATGAGGACTAGAGCAATTAGCCACAGCAACAGCCCGCGATTGGCCAATTGCTCCAGGCCCCGCGCATTGTCACGGCGCCGGCCGAACTAGCTCGACTTATGCTGGCTGGAGGCCGAGTCCCGTCACTCTTCCTCCTCCTTCTCCGCCTTCTCGTCCTCCTCCTTCCCTGCCACCCCCCTCTCTTCCGCAGTCTCCTCCGCTCCACCACGTCTGGCAGCGGAGGTGAAGGAGCCAGTAACCAAGCTGGAGATAAAAGGTAAGGATAAGCAATTGCGCACACAATGAACGGCTAGCACCCGCTCGGGCTGCCGAGAAGCTAATACATTCACAGCCTGACCTCACATTTCGTCCCGCGTTATACCAGGCCTCGAAGAGGCCATATCGCCCATATCGGTTTTCATCGCCGTTCTTGGACAATTCGTTGGACTCCTGTTACAGCCTGTTTCGAGTGGTACTACTTTCTAGATTTGATCTTCGTATGAGGACTTTCATATTGGCCCGAGAATGCGTCCCGATCATCTCCTAAGTGCAGGATGTGATGTCTCTCCTGTACATATGCTTTGAGGCTGCAGATCTGCTCATCCTTCCTCCCCCGTCTTCTTACCCCTCCTGCTGCTGGTGCTCCACTTCTTCACCCTTCTGAGAGAGTCGACCGATTAACACAGGGTTACCAACGGTACAGGGATATTCCCAGGGGTGGGCATGTCTTATCTTTGCCGGCTTCTTCCGCACTTTCCGACGGCTTCCGCCCGCAGAGCCGCCCTGAGGCCCCTCGTCTCACTTCCGCCGGCTTCTGTGGCCCCCGCCGAGGGCGAGTGATCAAGCTCTCCTGGAGCGTCCTGCCCTCGTCTCAGCCTCCAGTGCAGTCACGCGGGGGGGGGGGGGGGGAGCGGGGGGGGGCAACTGGAGATCGGTGCTGTTGCTCCCTCTCAATGCTTTGGGAGCGCCAGGAGTCCCTTGAGAGCCGCCCCCCTGGAGCCTCCAGGGGCCAGGAGTCAAAACCCAGGAAACTCCCAGACCTGTGCCTCCTCCTCTTCCTCCTCCTCCTCCTCCTCCTCCTCCTCCTCCTCGTAGCTGTTCTTGTCTCCCTTTGCTGAGCGCAGCCGTCCAGCTGTGCCGCAGAAGGCCGCCGGGGACCAGAGAGGGCCAACGAGGAGCGCCGAAGGCCGCCGAAGACGCCGACGACAGCCAGGCGGTAGTCATGGTCGAACACGGGAGTTGTCTCTGCTGCTGTCTCTGAGTGAGGGGGGGAGCTGCACACACCGCGCGCGCTGGGGGAGAGGGAGGAAGGGTGGAAGAGGCCGGCGAGGGAACGGAGATGGAGGTGGATGCTGGAGGAGGGGGAGGAGGAGGAATAGGACGGAGGAGAAGGAGGAGGGGGAAGAGGAGAGGGAGCGAGCGAGCGATTCATAGAGCAGGGAGCCGCCCGAAAACAGAATTCGCATTATCATGCAGCAGTCGATAGGAGGACTGTGTAACGCAAGACCGAGGGTCACGTTTTATTCAATAATGCCGAACGAGCTAAGCCTCAAAGCCTGACTCCTGTGGCTGGATGCCTGCCGTCCGCCAGCCAATCGCGGGCACGGCGACTGGCAGGGTTCGGAGACTTTGTGGGGCCAGGGTTTGGGGTCAAGTGTCCCCGAGGGCACCGATCTTGGGATATCCTTGGGCCACTCGGGCCCGTCAAAGCCCAAAAACAGAAATGTTCCAGCACGGTGGAGGCGATGGCCTCCACATTCTAAGATGCACCCGCCGGCCTCCGCCACCATACTTGGCCGCAGCGGCAGCAGCAAGGGCAGCCTCTCCCTCCCCGTCGACGTCTTGGCGCCAGCCCAGCATCTCGGTGACTGTGGCTATCTGGCGCAACATGGCCCCGGGCTCCCACCGCGACCCAGGCTTCGGCAGCGACTTGCAATTGGCTGGTGCCCGCGCGGTAGCCAAACAGCGCCTTTCCTGGATCGCGTCGGATCAAAAAACCAGGGGCACGGCATCGTGAGCCACAATCACGAGTGGAGGCGGACCGTTGGGACGTGCAACCCGAGGGGCTTCATGGGCCTCCGCATGCCGCATGGACCACGGCCCCAAGCTTGGCACAAACAATGTGTCTGCCGCACGCGAAGGAAACTGACAGGACAACTTACAGTCTCCTACGGCAGTCTGGAGAGCCGCAACTGCCACGTCCGCAAAGGCAATGTCATGGGCTCCGAGCTTTGCAAGGAACACTTCCAACGCATTGTCCATCAACCTCCAGATATCGCCATCATGGGTCCCACGTTCTATCAACCCCTCAAGCGACTCGTGCGCGGGAGTCCAGTGGAACGTGGGTTGCATGTCGTGGTTCTGGCGCACTCGAAACACAGTACGCCAAATGGGTGCATACGAAGCCAGGCAAGACGCCAGATCGGGGTCTCAGCTCTGCCCTTCTTGCGCGAAGGAGAGGTGGTCGCTGATGATGGCGGGCGGCAGGTCTCCCGCGGGCCCAGGCGAGGCGGTGGCACACCCCGCCCATCTTTCGCTCCGCGGGACTGGGACCGCCTTGAAGCTTGGCATCGCTCGGACGTGTGCATTTTTTCTCGACGAGGGCTTTCAAGGTGCATCCTGGATCATTTCGCAACAAAAAAAACACACGCACGAAATCGACCAATGCACGGGAAATGGACGTTCGAGCGATGGCAAGGGAAGCGCCCTGGGAGCGCAGCAAACTTGGCCTTCAAGGTCCATCCGTCCAAGGAAAGTTCAGCCACACTCCAGCGTCATCGAGTGGTTTCTGGCACCGCACTGTGCAGTCCCGACCCACCCGTGAGTCGGAACAGGCCCCAGGGGCCCTCAGCAAGCCCCCGGGTGGCGGCCGAGGCAGGGGGGCCAACGGAATGGGGAGGGAGGGGAGCCCGTACAGCAGAGGAACACCATCCCCATTCGAAGCGAGGATGGCCACCCCATTCTCCCGCGAGGCCTGCCCGCCAGCCCAGACATCGGCAGGAAAACCCAGGCTGCCGCTGTCGTCCTCGCCCACAGCCACTGAGCGCACTGCGGCAGTCGGCACGCTGGTGGCCCAACGTCGGCGGCGAGCGAGGGAGGGAGATGGGAAGGAGAAGGCCTTCTCAGAAGGCGGCAGAACTTCTCAGAAGCCCTCGCTCCTTCTGAGAAGCTTCGGGGAAGGCTTCGAAAGCTTCTTAGCAGGCCAGGGGACTTCCGAACCTTCGGGGGAGGCCTTCTCCTTCTCATTGTCCTCCTTCGCTCGCCGCCGACAGCGTGCCCTGAGGGCCCGGACAGAGAACGCAGAAGCAGCCTGCGAGCAAAGGCTCGCAGCGAATTTCCGCGCGACGGCGGCCAGAGCCCGCTGGACCACAGCGCTGTGAGGGCACCCTGACAGCCTGACGCGCACCATCTGGGACGGCCAGGGCAGCCAGGCGCATCACGTTTCGTTCGACGCGGGCCTGGGCCACATGGGGCGGGCGAGAGGCCGCACGGGGCAAACAGATCTGCATCTCTTGCTGTCCGTCTCGCCACCGTGGCCGAAACACGTGCTATATATCCAAGCGGTGCTCTTCCCCGCCTTCCCAAGATCCCTACGGGTATGCCTGCCATGAAACGGTGGTGTGATGCCATGCGGCCTTCGGAGGTCGTTTCGATGCTCAAGCCCATGGCTAGCGGACGTGGCAACTGTGGCGCAATAGTGTAAACCGTTCGTGTGTCCTGATTTCCAAGTGGGGATCTGCCTTTAGTCACGCCTCTCCAGGTACCACCGCGCGAGGTGAATGGGGTCTGCCATCGACGTTGATTGATCGCGCAAGGAAGTTGTACTTTGTCATTGTATACGCTATGGGGAATATCCTGGAGGCCTCGCGCGGCGCGTGATGGTTGTGTTATCTAGTCCGCACGCCCGCCCGGTAAGATATGGGACGACGTTCAAGCGGCGACGTTCTGACGTAAGCCTCACGTAGATCCGACGTGGGTCACAGTGGGAATGGGCGGTCAGGTGGCCCCTGGCCTGCTCCTGGCTGGTGTCGGCCTCCACTGGTGACCGAAAGGGTTCAGTGGGGTTTCGCACGCTGCCGACCTCCACGGTGCTTGGACTTCGGAATGTGTGGCTCGGTGCGCCCGTCGGCTGCTGTCTCCTGCAAGGACTTCGTTTTCGACATGTGACACCGCTGTACAAACAAGAGGCACTGCCGTGTGCAGTCCTATCTGTGACGAGGTTGCCCTTCTTCACTCTTGCGCTGACACGATGCAGTTATGTCGCCTACGGCACGGACGTCGTCCGGGTGTGCCTATCGGTCCTGCTCGTCTCTGACGGTGCCTTGTGCCGACTCACACCGAGTGATCGGCCTCTGCGTGTTTATGGTCGCGCCGCCGCGCCATTTTGGCTGCGCTTACTTGCTTGTCGCCACCGGGATCTCCACGCCACCGGGTTGGGAGTTCCGTTTTTGGTTATTCTTCTGAGTGGCTGCCCGCGCGCTCGTTTCGCTTGCCTCTTTTTTCTTGCTCCCTAGTCGCGGCCCGACTACTGTTCGGACGGCTTCCGGCCTGCTTCGCGAGCCCGCAGACCAAAACAATATCCCCACCAGCAGGGAGAACCTTGCTGACCGTCCAACACAACCCACTGGCAACACGACCCCTGGGAACACCCAGCCGCTTCGGATTCCAAGGGATTCTACGATGGTAGTCACTTACACTTGGAAGAGTGCGAAATGGGTCGCGAGCCGCAGGAGAAGGGGCAGGGAGAAGACAGAGAGGACCTTGCCGACCGTCCAACACAACCCACTGGCGACACGACCCCTGGGAACACCCAGCCGCCTCGGATTCCAACAGACTCTGCGACGGTCAGTCGCCTCCACCGGGGGGAGTGTGAAGATAGTCGCGAGTCGCAGGAGGAAGGGGAGCCCACCGCTGGAAAGGAGACCATCGAGGAGACCACCGAGCAGCCTTCCCCTGACGAGCGGGACAACGAAGCCATCCTACAGCTG